GAAGAGAAGAGGAAGAGAAGAGAAGAGAAGAGAAGAGAAGAGAAGAGAAGAGAAGAGACAAATACTCTTTGACATCATTTGAGCCTCTGGATTCAGTCATGCCCGAAGGCAGTTTTACATGATTTCTCATAAACCATTCATCCCCCTCTCCCTCTTTATTGATTTGGTGGGCGTTCTGTCACTTACAACCTAAATAAACCAAACCAATACTCCTTGACCACGGGCTGGGTGGGTATCCTTTTTGGAATCTCACACGGCCCCTTCTCCTCTATTTTTGATTGTATCATAATGATCTTTTGTTTGGTCGTAGCTCCCGTTAAAGTCAAGGAGTAGTTGTACCTTGTTTACTGCTGTATCTCTAGCACCTAGACATGCCTGGCACATAATAGCACCTCAATGAATTCAATTTTAATTTCTTTTTAAAAAATTACAAACGAGCCCTAGCTGATTTGGCTCAGTGGATGGAGTGTCGGCCTGTGGACTGAGGGGTCCCGGGTTCCATTCTGGTTGGGGGTGTGTGCCTGGGTTTGCGGCTCAGTCCCTGGTGTGTGTGTGGGGGGGTGGGGGTGGGGGGCGTGCGGGAGGCGGCTGATCAGTGGTTCTCTCTTGTCATTGATGTTTCTATCTCTCCCTCTCCCTTCCAGTCTGAAATAAAAATGTATTTTTAAAAATGACAAACAGATTCATGAAAGCATATATACAAATACACACAAAACAATTGTATGGCTTTTCAATGTGTCCATATGGAAACACACAAATACAGTCTGGAAAGATACCACCTATGCATCATGGTGTAAGTTACCTTGCATCATGGTGGTTAGAAGAAGAATGTGCCTATGTATCAGTCATTATTAAAAATTAATTTAAAATGAAGCTTAACAAAAGCAGCAGGTGCTCTTTGTAATAGTGAATGTATACAGTTAAAAAAGTATAGTCAGAAGTGAGCTACCTTGCCCCTCCCAATAAATATTTGTTGATTGAAGAAATAAAAACCTTAAGTATAGTAGATGAATGATTGAATAAGAAAACAGTTTTATCCAAAGAGATCTCAATTTAAGGTAACCCTCTTCCCCCCGTCCCTCCCCAGGGGCCAGCTGGTTTCCCAGAAAGCCTAGGTCTTGGGCCAAGGTTTTATTCATTCTGGGATGGGCCCCTGTCTGGAGTCCTTTTTCCCTGGAACCACAGAGAATGACTCACAGGGTTTTGCTTTGACAACGAATCCCCTAGTGACCAGAGTGTCACCTCCTGTTCTGCAAACAGGTGGGTTCTGTGTAGATTCCCCAGGTTGGGGGTGGGGGTGGGGCTCCTGTGTGGCTGTGTGGCCAGTGGCTGATAGCTGATTCCCAAGACACAGCCTTCAGCAGACATGCAGTCCCATGTTGTAACAGTGTGGAGAGTCTGTTGGTTCAGACAGTGGGCTCAAGGTCTGGTCCTGCCAATTAACTTCTGGTGGGACCTCTCTCATCTATAAAATGAAAGAAGTCTGAAGCAGACCCTGGTGTTTGTTTATCTAATAACTGTCCTGCCCCTTCTTTCTTGTTTACAGAACCTTAGTTGGGGGGAAGGAGTGCATTGGGAGGCCATGCGTTTAAGAGAAAGGTTGGGCCTCTCCCCAACCCCAATGTTTCTGTGTCAAAGTGAGTACACACATGTGTGTATCTGTCTGCACACACACACGTACACACACACACACACACACACGTACACACACACAAACACACACACGCACACACACGCACATATAGTCGCGATAACTCCAAAACATTCACTTGCCTGTAATGGGTTTAGTCATGTGATAACACTCTTCTCCCCTCCTATTAGGCAAGTCATTTAATCTCTTTGTGCCTCAGTTTCTTCTTTAAAATGGGAATGATTCTTACATCCCAATGTTTGCGTCAGGGGT